AAAGAGTAGAAGGCTTAGATCTGTCCTTCCTCAGGACAAGAAAGGTGGAAGGGTTTTTTCCCCGATGTAGCTTGAACAACAATTGTTTCCTGTTCCAAATAACATGAGTCAGTATTACCTCAATCTCATCTTCCAGCCAGTAAAATGAAGTAGTTTTAAAGATCTGAAGTGAAAGACAAATGAAGTTATTTTGCTACAATATACCCCAGATTGAAGGGCAATTATTAAGGGTATTTAGTATTTCAATACCCTGCTAAGCTGCAACTTAGCCTCCTGATGAGCAAACCAGATTCCACTCAGTCCTGGAATAGCTGGAAATGACAAGAAACACTGAAGGAACAGCTTAAACAGCACTTGGACTGCAGAACTGCTAAAATGTTGAACAATGTTCATACACTGGTGCCTCAAAAGCCAAAGCTCCTCTCAGATCCGCTTTGCAAACAAGGGACATTGTGTACCACAGTCTGAGGAAGGTGCAAATCGTCCTTTAGGAGTTTTCTCCGGGAAGCAAGAATAGCGGTTGTCAGGTTTTGCGTTTCAAAGGGAATTAAGCCTTTGGAGACAGGGGATGGAATATAGCATCTGAGAGTGAGAAACTTGCTGAGGGAATAAAGAGGCTGTGTAGACAAAGTGAGGCCCTGGCCAGTGACACAGCTGAGGTTAAACAGCTCCAAGGCTTCTGAGCCCATCTCGTGCAGCTTCATGTGCTTATCCCCCTGCAGACTGCTTCCTTACTTTTGTGTCCCCTCCTCCAGTGCACACACAGGCGACCAAAGTCTGGACTACTGGCATTAAATACTGAATTTATTTCATTTATTAGCAGTATCTCCTTTATGCAGCAGCCCCACTTCAAAGGATTACAAGTCCAAAATACGTCATAAAGCAAAGCAACCAGACACATGGATTTATGACTGATGAGTGTCTTGAAGCCTTGTAAAGGTTTATTCTTTACTAGCAAGCCCTTGGTGTTGCTCTGGGAGCTCCAGAGCTACAGCAGAGCAGTGATGTTGTATTTCCAGAAGGCTGTTTATGATCAGATCATCTGATCAATAACAACACTTAATTGCAAACAATTTTCCCACTCTTTGGCAGCTATAACTGCACTTGTTCACAATCTTACTCGGCAGGTTAGTTCCTCCTCAAACAAAACCTCCAATTTCATTTTTCACAGGCTTTCACCACTGTTCAGGGTGATGTATAAATCCCTTGGTTTTCCATTGACTTCCAGTTGTTTTCCTCTAATCACTATATTAGCTTTTACATTTCATAGGGGGGAAAAAGGAGTCTAACAGAATAATTCTATGTGCCAGCAGTTTCAAAGCATAACCCTAATCACAGAACATTCATGTCACTGTTATCAAACATCTCACCCCCTGTAAAAGGTATTGATATGCAGAGCAACTGGTGCAGACTTTATCTGCCATGTTGACACTGCTTTTCCAGTTTCCTGTAGCTCAGTTTTTCTGTAAGTTATGCAACTTATATTACATTTATATAACCAGCTCAAGAGAAAACCCCAAGAATTACTGGAGCCAGCAAAATTTTGTAGTTTTACAAGCGTGAAGAAAACTGTCAGGACCTGTTCCTTAAAAACCCACCTGTTTGCAACAGGCCATGACAATAAAACCACTAAATTGTACTTCCTCCCTTCTCCAATTTCAGTCAAGAGAAATTGCAACCATTTTGCCCAAGAAAAGCATCAGAAATCTCTTTTTCCAGTAGTTTGCAGCACTGTTTCAGTTTTTTTAAAGGATCAGGTGACCGTGTAAAACAAATCCTGGATGGGATACCTAAAGTGCTGCTAAAGACAAGGGGACAGAAAAATCCCCCTCATCTGTCACTTCCTGTACTGCACAGAAACTACAGCAATAGGTGGATGTGACAATTTAGCTGCCAAAAATCCCAAAATGCTGGTTTTTTGAGACTCCTCTTCTCTTCTTGATGAAGTTCAAGCATATCTGCCTCACCCCACGAGCAAAACGGAGCAGTATCAGCCCATGAAAAAGCTTTATTGCAGAGCATTAACTGCATGAATTATATACTTGAACTGCCAAAGCCATTTTCCATCAATCCAGCAAGTGTTTGCCATTACCAACACCTGAAACCTAATTGCACTTTAAGTGCTTTAAAGATCGAGAGCAGCTCGTGTGTTTACAGGAATAATGCCCGATCTTTGTGGAATTGCAAACTCTCGGATAGGCTACAAAAGAACAACATGAATATTGCCAGTTTTTCATCCAGACGAAAACATTTTGTCATTTTTAATTGCTGTTGGAAACGAGACAAGCCAGGAACCAAGACCCAGCTCAGTCTTCCCTCCACAACCTCCCTTCCCAGCCTGATTTCTGGTTCAGAGATTCTCATAACAACCCTTTTCACGCCTCAGTACAAACCAGTCCTTAGGGTTTGCTTTTATGTGTGAAAGCTTTGACCTCTCAGACAATGCAAACACCTTCCTCTTTATGTAAACATAGAGCAGCTTTTTCTGCTGCAATTCACACCCAACACAGCTAGGGAGTCCAGGATTCTCTATGTGGGTTCCTGCTGTATTTTGAGCATCTCTTCCTTGTGCCAAATCAGGCACCAGCAAGGCACCACAAAACCTGAGGGCAGTCCTGCAGGTGAAAAAGGTGTTTCACCCCCAAAGCCAAGGAGGATTGGGAGTAAAGCGGTAGGAAAGAGGTGAAGCTCTTCACAGGCATCACTGTCAGGATGCTGCCTGCGAAAACAGAAAGATTTTTCCGCTCTACACAAAAAAGGGAAGCTGGTTTCTCTGAATTCAGTCTTTATTTGCAAGAATAAACTACTCCAGAAATGTCTGTCTAAACTTACAGAATTAGTACCACTTACTCTTCCAGTCAAGAACTCTGGCTTACTCCCAGCCCCACCAAAAGGTAAGGCAAAAGAATTAAAGTGAAAATTGCAGACTCTGTCTGACAGAGGGAAAAATGAGTTTAAAAAGAATGTTGATTTTACCGTCTGAGTTTGGCCTGTGGCTGTTCAGGTGCACTTCAGCTTTTTGCTTTCCAAAGCTTTTGTACTAGATATTCTCTCCAGATCTTGCTTCCCATTTGTTTTTTTAAATAAATTCATTGAACAGACAATTTGAGCACACAGAAACAGTTCAGGATTTACCTCTCAGAAAGGCCACTTTGCAATTAATTCTGATATATTTTCTCAGTGCAGAGCCTTCCAGGAGTTAAGTTGTTCCAGTTCTGTGTTTATATTCTAGTGCAAATTTAAACCCCCTCACCCTAGATTTTACAAGCTTTTCACCCAACCTTTCTCAAAGGCCAAATATTTGCAGTTTTGTGGTGTATGAGCATATTATAGTCTCTGTGCCATTGGGCTTTGGGGCAAACAGCTTGCAGATACTTTGATATATAAGATATTTAACAACTGAATCACTAAACATGTACTGACAAAAATGGTTGTAAAATCAGCCTGTGATCACTAACTTTTAAGATCACAAATGACAGCAAGAGCCTGATGTGATCTGTTGTTGACTCAGAAAGAGCAGCATGTCCTCAGCTGGCATTGCATTTCAAAGCACCTGTCTCGGTGTCACCTAATGCAGACCCAGATCAAGGTGCAACTTCCTGTGTGTTTTAAAAACAAGTGCCAGGAGGAAATGCCTCCCAGTCCCCTTATAAGGTCAAAACTGAACTTAATACTGAGCTGCAGCAGCCCAAATAAAGGGGTACCAAAGCACATCCATCCTGCTCAAGAATAAAACTACAGGGAATCTTCTACGAGCAAAATTGGGTCAACTGGAGTGAAGTTTAAAAAGCGACACAACTCTGAATTATTGCCATCTCCTACCCAGTAAAAGAATCACAAAAAACTTTCTTGCACTACACTTATCTTCCTTCCAGATATGCCTCAAAATATAACCCCTCCATCCCTAATTCATCAGAATAGCCACTCCCTTAATCCTCCTAAGCACAGACTCCATGTTTGTTTAAACAGAGCCGGGTCCATCCCCTCCTGCCAAACTGAGCCACTGCCATGTTGTCTTTCTGCCATCAATCTCCATTATTATTGAAGTGCTTCAGACTTTTGTGTCCTGGTTGTCCTCATACATGACCTTTCTACGTGTACTTTAAAAATCCCAACTCAAGGCGATTATAGAATCATAGACTGTTTTGGGTTCGAAGGGACCTTAAAGATCCAACTCCCTGTCATCATCCAACACTGCAATGTTTCCACACATTCACACACAGAGCAGAATTTCAGGTGTCTGTAGAAGGTGCAAAGCTGGTTATCTGCTCCCCATCCCTGCGTGTCCCTCGGGGTGACGGATATTCAGCCCTGCATCGTGGCTGTCACCTCCCTTGGGGGTGAAAGATGTCCCAGAAGCGTCCCTTACAGAGGAACAGCTGCCAGACCGACAGCTGGACACCATCAACATTTCAAGCCCGCAGCTTGCCCAGCAGTGGGAGGCAGCGGGATCTCCCCTGGCACAGGGAACTCGGGGGTCCGCGCTCACCCACGACCACCAGGGGACTTTTGAACTTCTCCCAACGCACCGGCGGCCACAACCGGAGCTGTTTCATTGCGGTTCCTCCTGTCACCGACCCGGCCTCCCCCGCCCGGCCGCGAAACGTGGCTCTGACACCCCTTCCCGGCCCGGCGCTGCCCGCACGGCCCCGCACCCTCCAGCCAAGGGGGAGCAGCGGCTCCGCAGTCGCATCGGCCCCCCGGGATCAGGGGAACCAGTGGCCCCGCACCCTCCAGCCAAGGGGAACCAGCGGCCCCGCACCGTCTGGCCAAGGGGAACCAGCGGCCCCGCACCGGCCCTCTCCGATAAGGCGAACCCGGTGACTCCGGCCCCACTCCAGCCCCTCTGGCCACGGGGACCCAGCGCCTCCTGACTCCGGACGCGGCCGCCGGGAAAGCCCCGCACCGCCCCCGCGGCCATCGCGGAGTCTCTCCGGGGAGCGTGCCCGCCGCCCGCCCCGCCCTCCCTGCCCGGCTGCCCCCTGCCCAGACCCACTCACCGTTCCGTGTGTCCCGGCGGGGCGGCCCGGCCGCGGCCCCGCGGGGCTCGGAGCGCTGCGGGATCGGGAGCGGAATCGGGAGCGGCCCGAGGCGCTGGGACGGAGGGCGGCGGTCCCGGAGCGGCGGCACCGCCCGCGGAGCATGCGCGGGGCAGGGCCCGCCCGAGGGAGGCGCCTCGGGCCGGCCGGGCCGGCTGAGGGAGCGGCGGGAGGGAGTGTGGGTGGGAGGGTGGTCCGTGTGTGGGGTCAGCACAGAGCCCGGGACGGCACCCGGGGGTTCGACAGGAGGTATCTAAAAACACACGGCAGTCAATACACTCATCCAGAGAAGCTGTGGCTGCCTCATCCCTGGACGTGTACAAGGCCAGCTTGGACGGGGCTTGGAGCAACCTGGGATAGCGGAAGGTGTCCCTGCCCATGGCAGGGGATGAAACTGGATGAGCTTTAAGGTTTCTCCCAATACACACCATTCTGGGATTCTATGATACATATTTTGACAGTGCTTAGACAGTGCCAGATTTAGAATCATAAAATCATTAAATATCCTGGCTTGGAAGGAGGCACAGGCATCATTCAGTCCAGCTCCTGGCCCTGCACAGGATACCCCAACAATACCACATGTCCCTGAGGGCATTGTCCAAATGCTTCTTGAGCTCTGTCAGCCTTGGTTCTGTGACCACTGCCCTGTGGAGCCTGTTCAGTGCCCGACCACCCTCCAGGGGAAGAACCTTTCTCTAATAGTCAACCTAACCCTCTCTTGACACAGCTCCAGCTGTTCCCTCGGGTCCTGTCACTGTCACCAGACTGAAGAGATCAGTACTTGTCCCTCCACTACCCCTCGTGAGGATATTGAAGACCCCAGTGAGGTCTCCCCTCAGTCTCCTCCAGGCTGAACAAACCAAGCACCCTCAGCCGCTCCTCAAACGGCTTCCCCTCCAGAGCCATCCCCATCCTTGCAGCCCCCCATTGGACACTCTCTAATAATATAGGTTAATGTCTTTTTGCAGGGTTGTCTTTCTTACCCCAGTGCCAAGGCCACAGCTGTCATCTCCACAGATGCCCAGCGTCTGCTGTGTGGTCTGAGCTACCGGTGTGCTCAGATCATCTGTAAAACCCCACAACCCCATCTCCAGCCTCGAGCTGATGTGACGAGCCGGTGTAAACAAGTTAGTGTTTACGCCAAAACCAGGAGACACTCACAATCCTCCTGTCTGCACAGAAAATAAACCAGTTTCTTCACTGTGGTTTCAAACTCTTGTCAAAGTCACAGGAAACGGCACAAGTGGAAGTAAAATCAGTCAGAAAATGATTCAGTTCAATGAAATCATCCCACCCCCTTCTCACACACGCACACATATCTGGCATTTTCTTCTGACAGAAGAGCCAATCTGCCACTGCCTTTTGGGGGAATTGTCCTAATAACTGAATCAGTCTTTAAAAAAACCCACCCTGATAAACGTGACTCTTCCCTATGTAGTGGTGGCTTCATGTAATTCAGATAAAGCACATTGATAACATCTTTTTATCAAGATCTTCCTGTGCCTGGCAGCATAAGTGTGAAAGGCCCTTTGCTGTTCTGAAGTGTTTACACTTCGATACAGCTACTGTGCCCCAGCTCATCTCCCTTGTGCCTCAGCAGTCCTGAGATTTGACCCTTTTCTCCAGGAAATCAACCCAAAGCTTTTCACCTCCCCCAAAGGAGCTGGGAGTTGGGTGCTGGTGGTGCGTGAGTGCATGTGTCCAGATGGTTGTAGTTTACAAATTAAGGATAGATAAGCATTGGTTACGTTTCCCTCCTCCCAAGAGAAATCAAACCAGCCCTTCCCCACGTGTTTCCACAGCTGTCAGGGAACCAGCAGAGCGCAACTTGGGTGATTTTGCACCATGTTTACCTTTTTCCTCAGCTACATGACGTTGGGTCTGGATTAACCATGCGCTGTGGGAAAACACCAGAGTCTCACCCTATTTCCATCCCTGTCATAACTGTAATTCAAGTTGGAAAAGAAGCTGAGGTTGGAAGGAGAGAGGTCAAACCCTGCAGATCATAGAATGATAGAATGGCCTGGGTTGGAAGGGACCTTAAAGCTCATCCAGTTCCACCCCCTGCTATGGGCAGGGACATCTTCCACTAGACCAAGTTGCTCCAAGCCCCATCTAACCTGGCCTTGGATACTTCCAGGAATGGGGCAGCCACAGTTTCTCTGGGCAACCTGGGCCTGGGCCTCATCACCCTCACAGGGAAGGATGTTTTCCTAACATCTAAGATATGTGTGGCTGTACCACTGCTCCCAGGCCTGACCTTTTCTTCATCTCTCTCCCCCATAATCTGCCTGCAGAGGCTGCTTCCCTCGATTATCACAGAATCATAGAATCAGCTGGGTTGGAAGGGACCTCTGAGATCATCAAGTCCAACTCTTGATCCAACACCGCCGCGGTTACTAGACCATGGCACTAAGTGCCACATCCAGTCTCATCTTAAAAACCTCCAGGGATGGTAAATCCACCACTTCCCTGGGCAGCCCATTCCCATGCCTGATTACCCTTTTTGTAAAGAATTTCTTCCTAATATCTAACGTAAACCTCCCCTGACACAGCTTAAGACCATGCCTTCTTGTCTTGCTGATCGCTGCCTGGGAGAAGAGACCAACCCCCACCTGGCTACAACCTCCTTTCAGGGAGCTGTAGAGAGTGATGAGGTCTCCCCTGAGCCTCCTCTTCTCCAGGCTGAACAACCCCAGTTCCCTCAGCCTCTCCTCATAGGACTTGTGCTCAAGTCCCTTCACCAGCCTTTTTGCTCTTCTCTGGACCTGCTCCAGCACCTCAATATTCTTCCCGAAATTATTCTTGCCAGCCCTTTCCATGGCTTTGCCTTTATAATGATAAAATCAGTTTTTCTTGGTGGGTTTTCATGCCCAATAACACAGCGGAACCTTATTATTTATGCCTTACAGGCAGGATTCCTTTCCCAGCACAGCAACTGCTGTTGTGAATGGCCTTAAATCCTGAAGCTCAGCACTGGGAAGCCAAGCCAGGCCGATGAGGCGGCTGTGACGGAAGGATTGCATAACGGGCTTAGCTTGGGGCTGCTCGGGGCTGCTCGTGGTGCAGCTTTACCTCTGCCTCCATCTAAATCCAGAGCCCAGGACCACGCCCAGGAATGACCCAGGCTCCCAAAGGCCACATCGTTCAGTAAGAATTGAATTCTCACACGCCTCACTTTAAAAAACAGGGTCTGAGCTTCTCTGGCACTGAAATTGCATGTTCAGTCTCCCAGTCCTGACTGTTATGTGAGTTTTCCCTTCTTTTCCTTAATTTCTGGTCCCTGCTGATTTTTCCTAGTTCTTCTGTGACTTGTAACTGGGATGAAATCAATGCGCTTCTAAAAATTACTCCAAAAACTATGTTAATAACAGGGGAGGATTTCCAACCTATACCCAAAATGGTCTGTGTTTAACACAACATTCCATCTTATGGGAAGGATGTAATTTTGCATTAAAACCCTTAAAGTAGTTTTCTCTAAGGAATTAATTGGATGTATTTGTAGCTGACTTTGTTTTCTTGCTTAGAAAGAGAGCAGGCTTGCAAAGTGCTGCAGAAAAGGCCTTGGATGCAAAATAAATCTTTATTTCCCCTCTAAGTACCATTCTGGGGTGTAGTGACAGATCTGAAGAATTATTTTGTATCTTACATATTTCTTTATTTTACAAATTTCAGGATGCACTTGTGTACTCCATCAAAAACATGGCAAAATACAGAAGACTAGACCTGACTGTCTTGGTATTTGTAAATTAAAAATCAAATTAAATTTGAATTAATTTCCTCCTGTAGCCCTCTTTAAAGAAGGAGTAGGGATGGATGCACAGATTATCCCTTACTTTCCTGCTCTGCAGTTTGGTTTGCAAGCTTCCCCTTTGCCTCTGGAATGCAACGTTTCCACACTACTTTACACAGTATAAGTGTTTAAAGGCTTTTTTTCCATGGCATTTCAAGGTACAGTGAGGGACCCTGCATACGGTAAAGTGCTTTAAATCACCGATGGCATCAGCTTGGGATTGACTAGACCTTTACATAAATATGATTTAACACTATCTAAGTGGTTCCAGTTTGTCATTGATTTGTTCCTGGCAGTAATTCTGGGGCCTGGTTCTTCTCACTCATACCAGGGAAAATCAGGAGCAGGCAATGAAGTCAGAGGCACTGTGTGATGAGTAAAATAGGATGTAAAATTCCTTAACCTGTAGTAGTATTTAAAAGTATTCTGAGGATGACTCTGTGCTCTTTTATGCTTCTGCAGAGTGCCAGGTCAGTGCTGTTGAAATGAGAATTTATTTTTTAAATTATTTTTTTCATTCTCCCTGTGGCTGGAATGTGGGGAGCAGGAGGAGAAGCTCTGGGGCAGCACAGGGTCGGGTCAGGTGAAGGGGGTCACACAGCCACAACCTTGGGTGCTCCAAAGCATCCACTGAGTAAGTGCCCATTACTGGGTGTTGCTGGTCTTCCCATCAGCAAAGTGGATCCTGCTGTAGACCATCACCATGGAATATTTTAGAGCCTGTGAGGCCCCTGGGTACTGCAGCAGTGGGCCTTGCCACAGGAGCTGTATAAATAGACACAATAGTGCAAAAGTTCTTTCATCTGATCTGCTGCTGAATTTATCTTAAACTTCCTGTGCTCACAGAACACGCATGAAACTGTGTTGGTGACACCAATTTCAGAGGGCTCGTCTCTGCTTGGAAAAGCAAGTGAGTCTAAATATGGGGCTCAACCCTTTTTTTAAGCTAAGTGGGATTTCTAATAATCTCAGTTTGGGGAAGGAGAGGTACTTCATGTCGATATTCCAAATGTACTTTGCAAAACAAAGATTAGATTTTGCCCATCCAAAGCAGCCCTTGTTCCAAGGGTGCCGTGGAAGCTGCTGAAAGCCAGGCTGGAGGGGGATTTCCTGCGCAAGCACAGCGAGCTGGCACAGCCGTGTGGAGGAGGTGTGACATGGAGCTCCGTTCCCGACATCCGTGGCCAGGGGGATGGAATTCACTCAATTTGCTCCAAGCTGGGGAGCGTGAAGATGCTGTTGCCATGTCTCAACCTTGC